CTTTTATCTGCTTGATTGGGCCTGGGGCACCCAAGAAACAGGCTACACCTGGCCATGAAGCTGGTTGTCAGCCATTCGTTCCATTACTTATGAGCCACCAACGATGGGGTGTGTATGTGCCACTGGCTGTACTTCCTGAATGGTTGGTGCCCCACTTTTGTCAAACCCCTTGAATTACAGCTGAAAGTCATGACTTCGCTCCCATCTGGGTGCGTTTCCTTTCAACTTCAATGTGGTGGTGTACAGAGGCCAAATGCTAAAACAGTTATCCTTGTTCCAATATTTCTGGTCCTGACTGTAGGTTCATATGAAACAATTCACCTGAGCCTCCTTCCAGGTTGACTGCTATTTCTCTGCTTTGTGGGTATGGTTGCACAGAGATGATTGAAAATGTTCACTTTGGTTTTTAATCTAACCTCAGTTTAATATTATATACAAAGTCTAAGTAAAGTCCACACATCTTAAAGTTGCTGAGGTTGAGAAACACTGAGCTATAGTGTAGTTTGTCTCTTCAGCTTAACTAAAATATATGTAAGTATGTATATAAAAATAATGAAAATATAGGAGGCAGGTCAGTATGGAAGAATATACATAGGTCCTTTAGTGTTTTAGAAGCATTGTCAGGAAAACTAAAGCTCAGAATTAGATGAGTTGTTGATGACTGCTACGAATAATAAAAAGGGCCACAAAATACTTGAAGTATAGAGAAGATGACAAATGCAGAACTATTTAAGTAATTAATGAGATTCAGGAATGTGAAGAACTTCCTTTGTCATGGAAAGAAGCTTTTATCTCTTTGTGCAAGTTTTATCTTTTCCTTCTTTATAAATCAGTCATATATTCAGTCTGTATAAGCTTTTCATAGCAATACTTTCAAATTTTTTAAAATTGAAATTACACATTCTGAGCATACTGAATTTGCCTAAAAAGCTACATGAAACACAATATCAGACATATTCCTAATGTTATTGACAAGATAAATTAAAAACAAGAAGTACCCCTGATTTTTCTTGATGCAAAAACTCTTGACAATTTTGAATGGCCTTTCATTCTTGCAATTTGAACAAGATATGTTGCAGCTCTATTTTTTTTTTAAGTTGGATATAGAATATTTATGAAGAACAGGAGCTAAGAAAATATTAATGTTTTTTTATGACAACAGTGTACTATATACAGTTTTAATTGCTGAAATGAACAATTCATTTAAAAAGATTGTTGGGAATAAAATGAGCAGGACAGACCATTCTTTTATATTTGGTGCCAATGTGATAAAGCTCAGCAATTCTGGAAAATGATTACTAGAATAAAATAAGTCTTACTAGTTGAAATCCTATTTCAACCTGCAATATTCTTATTAAAATTTACCAGACTCTATACTAGTAGTCCTTGCTACTGAATCATTTGTTCAGCAGCCATTCAAAATTACAATGGTGTTGAAGAAATGGACTTATGACCCATGCCTGAAGTTATGGCCGTTGCAGCGCCTCTGCAGTCAAGTGATCAAAATGCGGGTGCTTGCAGCCCACCCACACTTATGACTGCAGGTGTGCTGCAATCCCCCCGCCCCTTATCTGCCCCCTGGTCTATGCCTTTTGGCTGCTGTTTGGAGAACAGCAGAAGCCCCATTCTTGTGGTGCTTCAGAAGACCTCATTCTCCAAATAGCATGCCCATTCTTGCAAGATCTGGGAAGACTGAAAGGGTTCCAAAGGTTCATAAGAATGGGGCATGCGATATAGAGAAGGAATGGGGTGAGCGGCCTGATGAGGCCAGCAGCTGCCTCACTTTTAGTAGGGTCAGACTGATACAATATATACAGTAGGGTCATCAGCAGCAGCAAGAAAACAGTGTGAGTGCAGCAGAACCTGTGGAGTACAAGGCAACTGGGGCTTTGTGCAGTGGTGCTGGGTTGGCTGGCTGCGGTGCGGGGCTTGACGCAGCATTTCTCAGTGGCAGCAGTAGTGCTGGAGCTGAAGTAGAGACCTGGTGCCGGTGGTAGCTGGCTGAGACTGCTCAAGGCCCCAGGCTTCTACTTTAATCCTGGTACTGCTGCTCCCCCGGGCCCCCGCCCGCCCAC